GCAGCTCGGCAGCTGTGGCCCGGCGTCTACCTGGAACAGAGTCGAGGTAGCGAGGTGGAAGCGTGACTGATCTCAGCACCTTTCAGATTCGATAATTTTCTGCTCAGTGACTTTCTGTTTAGTAAGCTTAACGTTACACGTTGCTCTACGGAATGTTTTTCTGGCAAATCACCCCACTGCCCCACAGATCCGCTGCTGGGTGTTCTAATCTCCGTTCCGTTGCACGTTCTAATTGTTATTGGATGTGACTACCTAGGGCAAAGCACCCGTAATCTGAGAGCAGTCACATAAAATGTGAGAAAATTGCTCATCTTAAACATACGTATTTCTAGTTTAATGCCTCCATCTGCTACGATATTCAGCCCTCTTTGTCTGCTTTAATTTTCCGTTTTCATTTGCCTCTGATTGTTCACGTTGTAGTTAAGTGAAGTGAAGAGTTTCAGCAAATAAAATCTAGACCAGTATGTGAAGTTCCCACTTTAAAAAAAAAACCAAAAAGCATCTTCAGTAAAACTGCACATGAGTAAAGTTAAATGTGTCTATAAGTGTGCAGGGCTAAAGTACCTAAATTCATAAACTAATACATTTGTTAGACAATTCAACTGTGTACGACCTTGTTCTGTAAGTCCTTTTTAGTCAGGGCACTAGAGACTTCTGCTGGAAAGATGTATTTCTAACAGTTATGTTTTAGTTGCTTCCAATCCAACTATCTTGATTTTAGACAGTAAAATAGTTATTAGCGTTTAGCTGCAACAGAATGATTCGTTGAGTGCCTCAGAAAAGGATGAGCACGTGTGACGTGTGTATATGTACGTATCATTGACATCCTGATACAAATGGACTCCTCAATGACCTCCTTTTGGTATATACTCCAGGGAATTTGAAGTGTGAAATCACAACAGAAAGCAAGTTAGTTAGTGCCGCTGTAGGAGAGTGTGCAGCTTGATTTTATTAGATTGGTCTTTGTGTTCACTGCAGTAATTTCTGAGTATGTTAGTGCATACATGCACATGTATGTATTAAAGGACTTCCAGTCACATACGCTCCTTCAGAAATCAGTACCTAAGTTATCCCTTTTCAGTGATGGAGAATAAGACTTGGAGACATGTCTTAAGGCCACCTATGAAGTTTATGGCTGATCTGAAAACTTGACTCCGAATTTCCTTCATCTCAGTACATTCCTTAAAACCATCTTTTTCTGAGAACACTATTCAATTTATTTTGCTTTATGAAACATAAACTAAGGAAATTCAAGTAATTTGCACTGTATTCAAATTTATCATGGAAAAATATTACAAAATGATCTAGAGATTCTTGCTGCGTAAGGTTAGAGAGTGTCACATGCTGTTTGTATCTGGACTGAGGAAGTATGATCTTGAAGTATGAAACCTGTGGTCTTAAGTCTTGGTTTTCAAGTAACACTGTATCCTGGGAGATGGGTGCTTTGCTCCATTTCTTAGCTTGTTACAGCATTTCCACTTGGCATAGAGTAAGTGCAGCTGCTCTCTGAGGCATAGGGGGCTTTTAAGATAAGAGATGAATTGTTTCCCACCTGCCTCAAGCTGAAGGGGAAGTCTTAGGTGTCTCTCTCAAACGCTGTATGCTTTGGAAAAGTTATGACCCACTTGGGGTAACAGTATCTGTATATGGCTTGTATGCAGCCAGTGAATCTGGATTAGACCCTTATTCTCACTAAATCCTGGAGTATGACAGTTTTGTACAGATTTCCTACATGAACAGCTATTGTTGGGCTGGAGGGGGTCGAAAGCAGTGGATTCTTCACTGAGGGAAACAAAAGCCGAAGCTGAGCGCAAACCCCGAAAGCCCCCGTGATTGGTTCTATACGAACTTATTGCAAGCAAGGGGTCTGTAAATAGGATGGGGACAGGACTGGCCCTGTGCGTTCTCATAATCCAGAAGTAATTTAAATGCATAAGGTTAGGCACATGCGTTGGTGAAAGGGGCCTTTATTCATTTTTATGATTTAGGATGATTTTGATATAAAACATTATAAAGAGTATCTCAAGGGGTATAGCAGAGCAGGAAGCCAAGCAACTGCAGCATGGTATACAGACCTGCAATTATAATCCCAATAAAAGAACCTTTCTTGCATAGACAGACTCACACGCGCATACACAGGGGTATGCGCGCACCCACACACCTTGTTTTTGGCAGAGCGCAGCAGGGAGGACCGAGTTCCTGTTGGTGGGCTTTAGCAGTCATCTGAAAATATACTTTCTGCTGAGGCCATTTTGCAAACAATTTAATAAGATCGTTTCCTACCTTGATTCTCTGTCAATTAAACCTGGGCTCTTGAGGCTGCTCTTTGCAACCTGGAGTTTATCTTGTCTGTCCTTCAACCGCAGGTAGCAAGAGTTGAAGCTGTTGCATCTGTCCAGCCACCATCTGTGAGCTTCTTTCTAGCTGTGGCAGATTTTTCTTATGCTTTGCAAATAGTATATCTAAGGCTGCCAGGCTTTTTCCTTAAGTGATCATTCAGTGCCCATCAATAGCTGTGATGAAAACAGAGGGCTGTGTGAGGAAAAAGCAATAAATAAATAAATATATGATGCATATTCCTGTAAATCAGCCTTCCTCTCCGTTCATGATTTTATTTTGTAACTGAGTGAAACCTAAGCTCTCTGGCAGGAAATGGACGGTGATTCATACGAGCACCCGTGAATTCACAGTCGCTCATACTGCACTTGAGGTCACTTAAACCATTTAGCCATATGCTTTGCCATTCTCAATGGGGTGCATCATTTCACTATTTTACTCTGATCCCACTCTTTTTGCTTTCCTTTTCCCATGGAGGAAAGGCCAGCAAGACTTCTGAGCTGTTTGTCTTTTTGCACTGTATGACTCATAAAGTAAAAAAAAAAAAAAAGCAGCCTGAAATTTGGGAAGTTATAGCTTAAGTAAACATAGAAAAATAACTTTTTTCGACTGTGTTGCAGTAAAAGTAACCATCAGCAAAACATGAGATGGCCCTGGGATGACAAAAGCACTGTGACTAAGCTGTGAGGTGGTCCTACTAGGAAATACTTTTTGTCTCCATGTCGTTGAGCAAATGTAAAAAGTTCAGGGAATTTCCACTTTGCTGAAGTGCTGTGAAATCAGCGTGATTTAGCAATATAAGAGAAGGATTCTCAAAAGTAAAATGTAACCCCTCTGAAGTCTGTTCTTGTTGGCATCAGAGCAGACAGGAGCCTGTTCTTTGGGCTCGTATAAACTGTGTGACTGTGCGCTGCCCTGTCTACACACACACATACATATATTCCATTTACTCAAGTGAAGTATCACAAATAAATCTTATATGCAAAATACTTGGATATATTTCAATTTCAGAAGTCATTTATGACATGTCTTTTCCTAGCACTCGCCTCAAATACTCCAAAGCCTCAAATACTCCAAAGATTAGTTTTGAATGTCCACTTTCATTTTCTAGACAGTTTTAGGTTTTCTTTGCTCACTGATATTTTTGAGTAGGGAAAACATACATTACCTTAGTGTTTCATACTAGTTGGGATCTATCAGGATCTTCTTCACTTGTCCTGGAAACAGTAATGCCTTTTTCCATCGTTCAGGTTTCCCGCTTTGCATCAATAGCCTGATAAAGGTGCGACATTGTTTGCACCGCTGACGTAACTTGTATCTCTGGTAGTTTAGTTCTGTAGACTTCTTTGACACAAGTCTGCATAGTACAGATAATGGAGAAGTTAGCTGATTTCTCTGTCTTCTTTTGCAATGAAGTTCTTACGTAAGGAGCTTTCCAAATGCTGGATAATACTAACCATTGTGTTTATATATAGAAATCTTTGAAACTTAACCAATTGAAATCTGTCCTTTACTTCAAACAGAATATGCCCACAGCACATTGGCACGTCTATGCTTTGTCTAAAACACAGATGCAGAAGACAAGCTCCTGAGAGTTTCTGAAATGCAAATAAAGCTTATTTTTAATCTTGTGTCATAGAACCAGTAGAAGGATTTCCTAGTTCTTACTGTTTTCCTCCCTGTAGTGTTCAAACTAGATTATCTGTAATTACTGCTGACTTTTACCATGGGACTCTTCTAGGACAGAGAGTTGGCTTTGGGTAGTGTGGTGGGGAGACATGGCAGTCTTGGCTCGTTCTCAGCAGGATCCGACTGGGGCCCAGGGAGGTCCAGCACCGCGTGGCGCAGAGGAGTCGCCTCTGTGGCTGGGGTGGCTGGCGCACAGAGCTGTAGCGTGACATGTGGTGGCCAGGGCTCATCCTGCCTAGTGCCTGCCCCCTTCCTCCTGCCCGTCTCCAAACACCCCTGTCCCCTCTTCTCTCTCTCCAGCTGCTGCCGCAACTACAGACGGGGGCTAGTCCTTTCAGAAGTCCCTCCCGCTCT